GGGTGCGCCAAGTCCATAGACTTGCATCATTTTCCAGCGTAAATAAAATGGTTAATTAATGGCTTCCTAAAGAAACCATCGATATGGGACCAGGTTTGTTTTGCTCTACGATTTTTTTTTATTTTTCCACAAAGTTTGATGAAAAATGATTGTGCCGTTTCGGCTGCTCAGAACAGACACACACACACACAGACAGACACAAGCCTAGTCCTATAGTATATTAGAAAAGGAAGGCAATGTGTGTTTATTTTGGCGTAATTAATATGATGTTTGGTTACAAAATGTAGTAGGATCAGTAAGCCACAGAGCCACGCCTACCAACCCTCCCGGGACATCACGAGTTGCATGTAGCATTTCGGAAGTCATCGACCCATCCTGGCAGATAATTTTTGAGATACTGTACATTGGGCACTTTAGCTTATTTCACTGATGGTTAAACACGGTAACCTAATATAACCTAACTTAACCCACTCTAACCCTAACCAAACCTGAACTCCCGTTTGGGTGTTTAGTCAGGTGAAATAAGCTAGGGTACTTATAATCTCCACGTGATCCTAAATGGCTTTCTTAAATCTACAGCATCAAGAAGAATTGCCATGGGTTTTTATGGCAAGTTTTCACTCTAAATTTTAAAGGTAGGAATTTCTCTATCTGGCTCAATTAAACTACGGGTTATAGAGAAGACGACCATGATATCGTCAAAATTGACCTTACAGATTCAGGTTTGTCCCGGCAGGCGCCTCAACTATTTATATTTACTGCCTGTGCCCATGTCCTTAGAACCGACTGTCATCCACGTTAAGAAGAAAATTACTAAATGAATTAATGAGAATTCACCGTCTATATGAGCGTTGATTATTATTAATGGGATAAATTTTCACGCCATTGTACACATTGTCAGTCGCGTTAATTTTATTTTTCATGTATTTTCATCCTAAAAAATCTTCGTGGCCGGCATAAAGTGTCTGTATGCCGTATGCAGTGATCCGATCCTGGAAAGAAACTTTTGATAAATATAATTCTCTCTCTCTCTCTTCTTCTCTCCTCCCCCCATTGCGATCAACAACAAATAATGAACATCCTTAGTAGAGTCAGTGTTGCCAGTAGCTGAGATCCCGTGATACAGACTGACTACTTCATTCACCCCTAAACTTTCCACCGCTACACTGATACCTCCCCCACCATAGTAAGGAAATTCAAAACAATGAAGTTCGTTCTGTAAGATCACCTGACTAATGTAAGATCACCAGACTAATGTAAGATCACCTGACTACTGTAAGATCACCTGACTACTGTAAGATCACCTGACTACTGTAAGATCACCAGACTACTGTAAGATCACCAGACTACTGTAAGATCACCTGACTACTGTAAGATCACCTGACTACTGTAAGATCACCAGACTACTGTAAGATCACCAGACTACTGTAAGATCACCAGACTACTGTAAGATCACCAGACTACTGTAAGATCACCAGACTACTGTAAGATCACCAGACTACTGTAAGATCACCTGACTACTGTAAGATCACCTGACTACTGTAAGATCACCCGAGACGTTACGCTCCTCCGGGGAAGTCATTAAGTTGTTGACATTTCAATTAACATGCGTAATTGATGACGTAACCACCCAGATGGATTTGACTCCCTAATTGGCCAGGGAAAATAGAATGACTGTCTCTTACTTAGACTGTTTGTAACTGTATAGTCAGTCAGTCAATAAATCAGTTATAGCGACTGTTTCTTATACTGTTCTTAGCTTGACAGTCTGCCATTAAATCAGAGTTGCAGTGACTATTTTTAACTGGACAGTCAGTCAGTTATTAATTACCGTTGTAATGACTGTTTCTTAGAATGTTTTTAAATGGATAACCCTTTAATAGAAAGGATAACGTGCCTGATTCCAAAATACAGTAGTTGTAACTGGGCAGTCGATCACTAAGTTTGGGTGCTAGTAACTGGCCTTTGGAAAAAAATAACAGCTTTTAGAGTGGGTGAAACGGGAGAGGGAGTAAATCATTGGTGTGGGTGAAATGCCTAACTTTATCTTAGAGTGAGTTTAACATCACTAAAGAGAGGACTACAATCTCGGGGATCGACTTACAGAGTTAACTGGGAGATACAATATTATATATAATTATGAGTATCATTAAGATGTCGAATATTCATCACTACTAAACAATTACTCCAAATATACCAAATATACTCCAAATATATTGCGCTTCACCTGTATGATAAAGATTTATTTTTTTTCAAATCTTCCTGCGAATACACGAATATGTCTTATAAGGATAGATGTCTACGGATATCAATTAAAAATGTAAATAGACAAACACATACTGTACATAATTACATAAATCATTTATCGTCACTGAAATGCTGCATAAGAAAATATAAATTATCTTTTTAAGTCACTATAGGAATAATATGTCTATGTGAAATGCATCAGCATATTATTCTTGTGGTAATATTTGGAAGACTAACTGCTGTGCGCTTTGTAAACACCACTGATATTTGCACTGGTTGGTGCCCAGATATAGCCAGCAGTAATGAGAGGTAATTGTTATTGCTCTCTGGCTCTCTGTGGGGCTTATCTCGCGGGGATATGCAAACAGACTTCCATAATTTGCGATTAACCCAAACAGAACGTCATGGGAGATAAATTTTTGGTGTCGCCAGTTAAGCACCTATACTGTACATCACGTTTTTCTTTATACCAGTGGAAGGTATAGGTCTTCGGTAATTATTATCAGATTTTTTTTTTTTTGTGATTTACGTCTGAATAATTTATTAGTAAAATGAATGCGGCCCCATAATGTAGAATTATAATTTTTTGTGAGCTAGATGTTCTTATTATTTTTTATTCCAAGCAACAGTTATTTTGGGAAGTTTGGGGAAATTATATTGTATTTACTGATGTATGACCTAAGTAAAAAAATTCTAGAATGTGTTGCATCATTTTTGTTGTGATTTACTTACGTATTGTAAGCCTGAATCAGAGAAGAACCAAAGTCTATTCATACCAAGTCAACCCACTTCGAGTCAAAAATTCGTCCTTCGCGGCGTATAATGTTTGTATGGTCAGCGGCCGGAGGAGTGGCCTGGGGTGGGTCCTCAGTTACCAGCGGCCGTCGTGGTGGGAAGGTCTGTGACAATGCCTAATAAATGCCCCTTATCTGGATGCACATTAAATTACAGACTACATAATAAAAGTTTGATGTTTTCATCGATTTCCAAAGGATGAAAAACAGAAGAAAGTGGATTTTATTCTGCATGCAGCAAATATATACTATAGGGTGCAACAGGAGGAAGGGCAATACCTTAGAGCCGTTGTCAGCTTAAAATTTAAATTCCCTAAAGTCTAACACTCAGCTAGGAAACCGAATGTGTAGAGACTATTGTTGCTTGAGACTGTTTTATAACCTAGCCATCTGTCATAGATTTAGTGGCCATATTGATAAATTGAAAACCTCCACACATATATACTATCTTGTATTCACTGATTTACTGTAATAACATGGGGAGAGAGAGATTGACGATAATTATAACATTAAAGGTTTTTATTATTTTCTTTAACTATTTTCTTTATTTTTTGTATCCCCCCCCCCCCCAGTAAATAGCTAGCCCATATGCCTATGATTATTTAATTGGTTTTACAATGATACTGGCAGCAAAATCATAAGAGTATAAATAATAATAAAGAGAGGGAAAAGAGGATTATTAATATTAATTATAATATTCTTTTAATAAAAATAGGAATATCATAAAAATAATGATTACATGAGAAGTTCAAGTGTCTAACTGAGAGATAGTGTGCTAGGGGATGAGAAAATCAAGAAATATGGCGTGAATATCTACTAATACAGTGGGGTGGTCTCGCCCCTCACAATATACTAGTCCTCCCTTACTACCGATTTTCTTCCATTATGGGCCAATGACGTCACATAATTTGTTCAGCATCCTAGTCATTACGAAGCACGATGCCAATTGATAGTGTTCGTGCTGGTCTATTACTAGTCTTCCCGATAAACGAGGTATAGGAAGGGAACAGTGCGCATACCCGTGAAATGTTGAAAACAACATCTGATACCTACCCCCACCCGATAGCTGCCTTACGAAGAATAATAATCATCATTATATTTTATGAAAGTTCTTCCAGTACTTTATTACAGATGTCTAAGTCGAATGAACTTGAAACATTATTGGAAAGTTGACATTACAGCTCTGAGTTGTTCAGGCTGAACGTGTCCAGCATATGGGTTAAGCTTCAGAGCTTACAAAGCCATCTGAGTTACTTTCTGAAATTCCGAGTTCTAGTTTTCAAAATGTCCACTAGTAAATGGAAAGGGTCCTACGACAGTGGTAGAAAATATAACAAACCAGGGGACGATGACGAACTAGACGTTTTTGCTTACGCCAACTGGTGTTATCAAGTTCTCTACCATTATCATGCTCCACCACCATTATCATGCTCCACCACCATTATCATGCTCCACCACCATTTCAGATTAAGGTAAATCTTTACTCTAGATTATAGATATTGTGTTTATGTAATTATTGGGCTCTTAATTCGAAGTGAAAATTTGGTTTTATTACGAAATTTTAAGTGGATATTGTAGGGGATACTTATATTTTGTGTGGATTGCAAAAATAGCCTTGTGCTTCCCATCCAAAAAGTTTTGGCCGAATTTTGGCCGATTTGGCCGTGAGATGGCGTGAAATTGGCCGTGAAGCTTGTCGTACATCTGGCAACCCTGGATAATTATTGTTCTAGTATTGTGGAATTGTCAGCGATATAAAGTGAAAAGACTAAGGAATTGTATGCTGATAGTGGTAAACACATACCCTGTGAACAGTTTTGTGAAGACTTGGTGAATATTAAAGCAGACTACAATGTACTAGTGTGTTTCTGTGACCTGGTGGAAATCTACCTGCCTGTCTACACTGATACCGATCGTCGGGAAATTACCGGAAACTGACAGGACATCTAGTGGTAATTCGACAGCACTTGTGATATACAGTATCTACTGCTTCTGTATATACAGCACATCCTTGGTTGCCTGAGCTAACGAGTAACGAGTTGCTAGTTAGTAAATAAGGCCACTGTTTCAACGCGGTCCATGTGTTGTGAATTGGGAGTAACGGGTAGTAAGTGAATATATGATTAACATTAAATCATTGGCTAATTTGCATTTTCAACCAATACGGCTCTCCAGTTGTACAATGTATTTTTCCGATGTTTTTTTTTTAGTTTTATTTGATTATTTATATTTATTTTTGTCGGAAATTACTCGTTTTTGAGATTGTCCCCTTTACAATATTGGTTGAAAATGTAACATGACCAATAATCCCACAGTAGAAGAATATTAAGCTCAGAAAAGCGAGAGCAAGGAATATTTTGATTGTAACCTAACTTAAGGTCCTCTTCACACTGCTGAAGAGGGACTTAGGTTATGACCAAAATCCAGTTCCAGGACTGCACTCGTTTTTGTGAGTTCTATCTTTTCAGGGATTATAGTGTTACGGTTTATTTGGTGTAGCATAATTTGGTTAATATTGACGAGATACCCATCACAACCTAATTTGTTTTGATGGATTTTTTCTTGCTATTTTGAGCATTGAGTTCGGATATGCTGTTCATTTCTATAGAACTTGGTAATTATTGAAGATTGACCCCCGGCAAATTTTAATAGAAAAATATAAGAATGCCTCAATATCACTGTGTTTTACAGTGGACACTGTTGTAGTTGTCTAAATGTGTTAAATAGTGGTTATTTATAATTTTATCCTAACCTAACCTTAGTCACTAAGAAAAGCAAGTGGCAGAAACAATGATAAGACCTCAACATCCTAACCAAAGAAACCTACCCAACCTTACCTAACTTTCTAGCCCTGGATCCCCTGGCATATTAAAGAGAAAGAACTTGCTATGATATGGTGTAAATTTACGTTTTTTTGTGGACGTGAGAGCAGCTTCCCAGGTCATGCGGCTAAAGCGTAGGCCTCAATTGGAGGGCGGTGCAGGGGAGTGTTTTGAAATATGTCAATACGATTAGGCTTGGTTAGGATAAAATTATAAATAAAAACTATTTAACACATTTACACAACTACAACAGTGTCCACTGTAAAACACAGTGAAATTGACTGCTGAGAGGACAAAGTAGTGTGCGTCTAGGCGCCTAATTTTATATCAAACGAAGTATTTTAAAAGAGCTGACAATATTTTATTTTAGTACTTAAGTATTTTTTTTTATTCCTTGAGTTTTCTCTATGATCATAAATCACCTGTAGTGGGCAGGGCATGAAGAATGAGGGAAATTGTGTGGTAAAGCATGGTGAAAAACTGATCATATGACACTAAGATGATGTCTCTTCATGCTTTGTACGTGAAAATTTAATTATTTACACTAAATAATCCTCCAAAAAAATCTGCAATCTCCGTGTGTTGTCTATTTGTTTACACCGACCCACTCGGTCCAAGCGTACTCTCACATCCACAAAACACTTAGAATAACACCATGACGCTCCAACAAAGTTGCTTTCATTGATACCAGATATCAAAATACTAAGTACCGCCTGTTTAATACGGTGGGGGTCCGTCCCCCAGCTAGGAAGTTAGTTTAGGTAAGGTAGGTTTCTTTGGTTGGTTAGGTAAGGTTCTATTAGGTTCTGTGCATTGTTGTATCATTTTTATTACTATCATCCAACGAACATCTTTGAAAAAATGAACGAAATCAAACAATTTCTTCTGGTGGTAAGGTTGTTCTTGGATATTATCAAAGTTTACCTTATTTAACCAATGACAGGAGAAAAGTTATTTTATTTATTTTTTGTTTTGTTTTCAGTGTTTTGTCAGTGATTCTCTTGTTTTTGTTGATTAGGTCATAAGGAAGGCCTGAATGTCTAAATACTTTCTTTCTTTTTTTGTAAGGGTGGAGGAGATGGTTAGCACCAGAAATCACTTTTGGACTTGAATCAAAATTTCTGGAGATACTATTTTCATTATGCTGTACACAAAAATGGAAATGAGAATGCACAAAACCTATAAGAACATGACCTTACCTAACCTACTAAACCTTACCTACTTAACCTTACCTAACCTACTTAACCTTACCTAATATACCTAACCTCCACTAACTTCCTAACCTACTTAACCTTACCTAATATACCTAACCTCCACTAACTTCCTAACCTCTGCTTTGTCGTTTCGATTTTCTTACTTTCTATCATCTAAGCAACGTCTAGAAAATATTAACGAATTCAAAACAATAAAATTGTAATAAACACACTTGATGAGATCGGCGTTCATTTCTTAACATGTAAACAAATACCGCGAACATTCCCGTAGATTATTTAACTTTTTCTGAGCCAGGAAGACTTCTGAATACAGTATTGTACAGTACAGTACAGTATTTCTTTTATCACCCACCTTAATATTTGTGGGGAAAAAATTGAGAAACAATTAAATATAAATATTTGGACTGATTAATGTCTACAATTACTTACCAATTTTGTTTTTGTTTTTTCATGTTCAAACATTTTTAAGTTTACAGTCGTAAGTTCTGTTTTAAATTCTAAGCTCTGACCTGCACAGTACTGAATTTGCCGAGCTTATACTACAGACGGGCGAGGGGCGACCTAATTAAGGTGTATAAGCATCTCAAAGGGCACTACTCAGTCAAGTGTCCTTACTTGGAGCTGGCGGACGCTCTCCCCTCAAGGGGTCACAGCTCAAGATTGAAGAAGCCACAGGTCCAGAAAACTGTGAGGGCAAACTTTTTTGGAGTGAGAGTTGTGAACTCTTGGAACAATCTGCCAGAAAGTGTTGTGACGGCACCGAGTGTGAGCTCTTTCAAGACCAGACTTGACCAACACTGGAGCGGGTTCAGGTACATTCAGGAATCGGTGCATGCCCAGTACTTGCCAACAGTGTGTAACAGAGACGTGACCGATCGCCCAAGCGGCTAACGAGCCGATCAGTGGTAAAGGGGATAAAAGCAATGTAAATTAAAAGTTTCGTATTTATCATTAGACAAGCCTATGAATGGGAAACTACTGTCCATTGTCCTTGGTGTTTTTTTCTGAATACTGTACCACTGATTTGATTGTTCTTGGCAGTTCCAGGAGAACACTACTGTACAGTACATGGTTTGGGAGAGATATGGGCCTGTATATATTCGGTACCAAAAACCTTCTTGCAGGGATGGTTGGTGTAACTCTGCCTTGCTTGGAGTCTTTGTTGTACCACCACTAACCACTTTTAATTGGCTTTCTGTAGTGTTAGCCACATGGTGGAGGGGGTGTTACGGTTCTAGAAATGGGGGATTAATACTATTATTCTATTTTCTGGCACAGGTGGCTCAAATACCCGCTTTTCCCATTTGGATGTGTGTCTCTGGTTACCTGGAAACTGAGTATAAAATAGTAGATTGGTCCTGAAATTCAGCTTGATGTGAGCTCACTGGTATTGACATATGGTATGTGTGCAGTACTGTAATAACTAGGTGGATATGAGTTATATTAGATCTTTTGCTTCCAGAGGTCAGCCTATGCATTTTATCTCCCTATTTTGAGGTTGATGGAAGTGATCCAAAAATCAACCTCCAGCCACATTAAGGGGGTAAGGAGTGATGGATCAACCTCCCATGATGGGCACAAACAGTAGTGAGGGTCACCTGGTTATGGCCCAGTTCGAAAAAAAAGGATTTCATAATGATTTATCACTGAATTTTCATGGTGCTGTAAGTCTTTGGTGAATTTCTAGGTAAATTGTGCATGTACTTACTGTATCCTTATGCTGTGATGTTGAACAAGATGACCTCATACACAGTTATGTAAATAGATCACTCATTAGGGATTCTTACAAGATGGAAATACAGTACCTGTACTGTATAGGTGCAGATTATCACAGGTAATCTATCTGAAAGGGTCACCCAAGCTCTTCATAAATGTTTGCCTAAATTAATAAAATTTAACATATTGTATTTTTTACTTTTCAGCATGATGAACAGTAAAAATATTTGATTATGAATATACTGTATTCTCACTTTGAAGTTGATTGCAAATCCAGACACCGGGAAAGAAAATGGACACCCACAAGAGTGCCTCACCGAATGAAGCCCGACCAAAGAAGAGTAAAAACCGAAACAACTCTCCTTCTAAGATTTCAGCAAAGTTGATTTTTACATCACTTGAAGCACTTCATGGTTAGTTCATTCCTGTTAATTTTGTTATACAGTCGGCCCTTAACATACGCGGGTTTAGCATACACGGATTTGCAAATACGCAGATTGCCCCGCCGGAGGAATATTCTGTACATTGAAGTAATTGAAGTACATTCAAATCGCGGGCCATTCAACTCACGCGCGGCACCGAACACTGGACACCGCCCGCTCCCGCAACCTCACACACACACGCATAGCTCTCCCTCACTCAGTCAGTCTCGCTGTAACCATGCTTGTGTTGACATCAGCATTGTAGTTGCAAAAATATTACATTTCCGTGAATGTATTATATCAAGCACAGTATGAATAGAATATCACGAATATAAGAGTATTTTAACCGAAAACTACTAAAAAAACTAGTGACATATCTTGAACATTGGAAGGTTAGGTAAAGTCTTTTGTTTTCATGTAGTTATCCTGATTTACATTGAAATGCATTACGTTTCAGCAAAACTACTATTTATTTCTGAGAATATGGAAATGTAATATTTTGCTGAAATGACGTACGTATTACAGTGGAAAGTGACGAAAGCGATGACTCTCTTTCTTTCGTTCAAGAGATGTTACCGTAATCGCTTTTCAAATGGTTTTCAGTTAAAAAACTGTTGTATTACAATAATATTCTATCCTAATTCACTTGTGATGCAACAGTTTTTTTAACTGAAAACCATTTGAAAAGCGATTACGGTAAAATCTTTTGAATAACGAAAGAAAGCGAAAGTCATTGTTTTCGTCACGATTTTATCCCACTTTCCACTGTAATACGTTCGTCATTTCAGCAAAAATAATACATTTCCGTGAATGTAGTATATCAAGCACAGTATGAATATAATATCATTGTAATTAACAGTATTTTAACGGAAAACTTTTAAAAAAACGAGTAACATCTCTTGAACATTGGAAGATTAGGTAAAGTCTTTTGTTTTCGTCATGTATTTTATCCTATTTTACATTGAAATACATCACGTTTCAGCAAAACTACTATTTATTTCTGAGAATATATTCATTCAGGCACAGTTTAGGTAAAATATACATGTGCTGTAACATTTTTTTAATTGAAAACGATTCGAAAAACACGTACCCTCTAGCCCTGTTCAAGGAGAAGACTGGGAGGAGCTGTTTGGTGCTTAAGACGATGACAAGGAAAATGATTTTGATGGGTTTTAATGAAAATATTCAGAAAGACCCTGGCACTGTCAAGGAAAGTGGTTGCTGAAGGCTTCCAGGACATGGCAGAGGACGAGATTAGGGAGCTAATTGAAGAGCACGACACTGAGCTGACCGAGGAGGATCTACAGGAGTTAGTAGACTCAGGCAAGGAAGAGGAAGCGAAAGGGAAAGAGGATGAGGAAGAGGAAGAGCACCAAGAAATAACGTTGGAGAAGTTGGGGGAGATGACCAGGAATATTGAGGCACTGAAAAACCTGGTCTATAGTATGGACCCCTCCATGGTGCGTGCCCTGAAATTCATGCGAGGGATGGATGACGTTTTTGCTCCATACAAAAACATCATGGAAGAAATGAAAAGAAAGAGACGACAACTCCCCATCACCATGTTCTTTGATCACCGAAGGAGAGATTTAACACCATCAATCACTGGCGGCAGTGAGGAAGCAGCTGAATCCACCGTCGCCCCCACTTCACCACCCGTTATGGAATTGAGTGACGATGAGCCCGATGACCCCCGTCCTGTCGCCGAGGATAGGTACTGTACAGTAAAGTGAAATTTTTATCTCTTTTTTTTAATAGCTTTTCTTGCCATGTTTATTGTTTGTAAAAATGCACAGCACAGTACAGTTCAGTACTGTACATAGGAAGTGGAGGTGCAGTTATTCACAAAACATTTGTGTTTGTTGTCGGCAGTAGTGACGGTGAGGAGGTGGAGGAGGGAGCGGAGGGAGCGAGTTGGGAGGAGTGGTGACCTTGGACGCGGGAGCAGGGACGAGTGGAGATGCCAGCCAGTACATTACGGGTGTATTAATTGTTTTTATAGCTATTTTTGCATTTTAATATTAAATACTGTACATTACGTTTCAACAAAACTACCATTTATTTCTGAGAACATGGAAATGTAATATTTTTGCTGAAATGATGTACGTATTACAGTGGAAAGTGGGATAAAATTGTGACGAAAGCAATGACTTTCTCTTTCTTTCGTTCAAAAGATGTTACCGTAATCGCTTTTCGAATGGTTTTCAGTTGTGGGATTATAAGGCTAATGATAGGATAGAATATTATTGTAATACAGTACGAGTACAACAGTTTTTTAACTGAAAACCATTCGAAAAGTGATTACGGTAAAATCTTTTGAATAACGAAAGAAAGCGAAAGTCATTGTTTTCGTCTTTCCACTGTAATATGTACGTCATTCCAGCAAAAATATTATATTTCCATATTTATTTCTGAGAATACGTATATTCATTCAGTCACAGTTAAGGTAAAATATACTTGTGATGTAATATTTTAATGAAAATACGGTATCGTAGTTTTCTTTTGTTTCAAATTTAATTAACAAAGATTGATGTTTCAAATGTAATGAACAAAAATTTATGTCCAGTATCTATAAATAAACTTTAATAAATGAATACTTTATGTTTTACATCGTCCTGTGCTACCATACCATGGATTTGGCTACTTTGGGCTTGCTATGATGACGCAAGAGATCTGCCCTGGCAACTGTTCCGACACTCACAGCTGGTGGTGCGTTGGTGCATCGTTTCCATTGTTTACTGGTCGTTACTGGTAAATATTTTTCAACCTAACGAAACTATTACCGGTTTAGAGGTCGACCCCCAATTTTTTGCCAAATAATTTGGTCTTAAAAACTCGAACTACACACAGGTATATATGGTAAATAAGGACATGGGGGGGGGGTAGCAAAACTACGCGGATTTTTAACATCCACGGGTATCTGTTACGTAACCCCCGCGTATGTTAAGGGCCGACTGTAATTGCAACAATTCTCTTAACCCTTAGGCCCTGGGTGACATTCCAGAACGTCCAACTAGTACGCCCCGGGTGACATTCCAGAACCACCGCCTATTTTCCTGGCATTTTTATTTATTATTTTTCTTTTCTTTTTATTGTTTATATTTTTTTAATTAATTATTTATTCTTATTTTTTTGGAAAAGTTGATTTTTTCCGTGATTTATCCCCACCGGAGTGGGGGGGGGGTGTACTGCCAGCAGCTTAAGGGTTAAACAATATAAAAATTCTTACAATATCCTACAGGCCTGTCTGCACACATTTCTGCAATAGAACATTGGGTGGCAGGTTGGCTAAGCTTGTCAGTCAGTTGATGTATGGTGAATGGTGATATTTCTCACTGTGTTAGGTACCTGTATTATGTCATTGTTGAGCAGCTGATGCTACTTTTGTTGGTGTCCTTGCCACCCACTAAGCTTGTTTCACTCCCTCTGCCTGCTCCACTTAAAAAATTTTGACAATTACAGTACAATAATTATGGCTTTCTCATTGGCAGTTATCTAGCAAAGTTTTCCTATTCACATCAAAGACTTATTTATTTAACCCAAGATGACACTGAGAAGCATTAAGAGCAAATGAGGCACTGGTGTTTGTACTCTACAGCTTTAGAATCTGTCAGGAAATTTTAAGCAAAAATTGATAGCAGTAGCAGCACAAATGTTCCTTTAATTTTGACATAAGCTTTACATTGTGCCAAGGTGATGACAAAACATGGGCCAGTTGGGTCCAAAATAAATAGCTCATTAGTACACTATTAGTGTTCACTCTTCATTTTTCATTGAAAAAGAGTAAGTTATGGGTCCAATGGTTCTATATTTTGGAGTGCTCCTTTTTTTCTAATTAGGACCAGTTTTAATGAGAAATAACAATGAGCCCCAAGTGATGTACCATCATGACTGGGACCCATTTAGTTTGGGCTGCATTATCATATCAATTGAATATTGTTATTATTTATGGGCTTAAAGTGAGTTTTAGGGTAATACAGGTAGATCTCTGTTTGCAGGAGGATTGTGTTCCTGAAAATTTTTCCTAAAATTGAAGTGGAATTTCTCATTGACACTACCATTATAAATTGGGGTTTCCTTGATAAAATGACATGACACTACATTATACATGTTTTAAACATTTGATAAGGGAAACCAGATATAAACTACAAGATAAAAAAATATAGACTGAAGTATAGTATTCGTTTATTTGCTTTCACATATTGAATTTTACCCAGCCATTCACCAGGTAATTATCATATTACTGTATTAACTTTACAGGTATGGGATTATCCAGCTTCCCAGTATCCGGAATGCTCAAAAAAACGGTGTCAGGGTCTCAGATTGCACCGTGCTGAAAATGTTCTGTGCATGTGCAGTAGTAGACAGTGTGGCGACCTGCAGTGTAATGTCAGTATGCTCGCCTCGCAAGCGAACGGACCCGGGTTTGATCCTCGGGTAGGATGAAACTATGGGCAGGTTTCTTTATGCCATTTGCCTCTGTCTACCCAGCAGTAATTGGGAACCTGGATGCTAATCAATTTGCGGATCGTATTCCGGGGTAATGGTTAGCCAGTGCAGTTGGCGAGTTGTTCTGTCTTCTCAGACTATTCCTTGACACTGGGTCATGCAGCTCGTTAACTCAGGGTGTGGTTGTTGTGTTGGCTACAGCTTTTACACCTTAAACAAATTAAAGCCAAAGTGGCCCTTGGGCCGGCCATCCTCGTTACACAATGAACAACCATTATTATATTATTCAGTAGACAGTGAAACAGTCCCTTGAAATTTTAAGTCAAGAAAAGGATCATCCTGAGAGCTCACGTGTGTCAAGTTAGTCACAGGCTTAGAATTGTGTACAAGCAGTTTTGTAGACTTTTTCCATTTTAGATTCCAACATTTGTCTAAAGAATAACCGGGCTGCTTACATTAAATACAAAAGAAGGATCTTATCGATTTAGTCGATTTGCTGCCACAAGAATCGGGGCTTTCACAATAGGAGGACTTTACATAGTGAGTTCTTACCTTATCTTCTTGACTCATCTGTGATTTCTTAAGAAGAGTTAACAAGTCGGCAATTCATATAGTATGTGTCAGAATGGCAAACGGTAACTTCCACTTAACCTCATCAAATACAATTAAGTTAGTCAGTTTATGAAAAAGTTTCAGTATTGATGGCTTCCAACCATTTCTTAAACAGTCTAAGTTTCCTTGTCACAAATTCTACAAAGTAATGTGAGGTGATATAATAAATTCTCTGAATTTTTTGCGATAACCATCTGGGGTAATGCCATATGTATCAAGAATGGACTTCTTAACAAAATCATAGTCTTCAATGCATTCAAGGTTAGAAAAAGTTACAGCAGCTTTACTTGTTAATTTTGCTTGCAGAAGCCAAGGCAGTTCAGAGCAAGGCCAGTTTAAATGTTCAGCAATCTTTTCAAATGTTCTAAATATGCCATCAGGATCATCTTCATTGAATGTTAGGACTAGGGACATGTACTTTGTTAAGTTGAATGTTTTCCTGTACAATGTAGTTCTTTTTCTCTGGGTGTTAATGTCATTGCAAGTTTTTCTTTCTCAAATTGTAGTCTTTCTACTTGTTTTTTCTTCAAATGTTTTGGTGGTGTCAGCTATTAAGAAAATATAATTAAAGCTCTTGGTTCACTGAACTACATTTAATTAAAACTGGATAGTTCTTGTTATCCCACTTGTCCATATTTTAGTAATACCAAGGTTAAAATGGAAAGATGCCATACATATACCCTCTATGTGGAAAAATTATATTGGTAAAAGTTTGTAAGTTTTGTAGCTCTTAAATGAATACTTGACCATAAATATCAATGTAAATGTTATTACTGTAGTTTCATGCAGCAGGTCAGTACTGTACCCAGGACTTGCTGACAGGTGTGATGGCCAATCAGGACCTCCATAAGTTATTGACAAAATTTTCTAAACAAGAGTATGGACACATTATTTTCCACATGTATACAAGATATTCCTGAATTTCCAAGTACTGTACTGTACACTGTACCTTCGTTTATTTGGATCGTTGTAATTTGGATTTCAGGCTTTTTTTTTAATGAATTAAACAAATTGAATTCGGAATGAATCTGAAATAACCGAGCGGTTCTGAATACAGTAGTCGATTATTATTATAGGAATATATTATGAAATAGATTAAGATGAACGAATGATATGAATACAGTATAAAGTTAAAGTATTTATATTAAGATACAGTAGAAATTGGCATTGGTGCTAGCCACAGGATCTGTCTTGAGCACTTAGTAAATAATATTATAGCATATTTATCAGAACTTAATTATTATTGTGGTGCATAATGCATCTCCAGATGCCCTGATTTATTCACTGATCTGTTGCTTAAATGCAAAAGTAGCCAAATCGAGCTATCATGTATCAATGTGTGTGCCTTGTCACTTCACCTCACTTTCTGCCTCATCACTTCATCCCTTGCATCAGCTCACCTCACCCCTCGCATCGTCAGCTCACCTTGCAATGTTACATTTATTTATTACTATTATTTACTTTATTATTACATGTACTATAATAATAAATAGATTATTTTATGTGGCAGCCAAGGCAGGGCACAAAAACTGAACGAAAAATTTTAAAAAAAATTTCTGAAATTGTCAAATAACAGTCAAAATATTCCAGACTCGGTTAAAGCGGATTTTTTGGTAATTAGAGTGACCCAGGGCACTTTTTTGTCAAATTAATGAAGGTACTGTATAGTGTAAAATGACTGACACTTATCATGGTCACGTCAGTATACACCCAACTCGCGCCGTCCGCCACTACAACAAAATTCAGCCCATAAGAGCCCGCACCGATAGATATAAGAACATCACCATCCCATCTATTGTTAAAATAATAAACAACTCCTGATTTATGTACAGCCCTGTAAATGTATTCAATGCATATTATGTCATTATGTCTAAATCAAATGTAAGTTTGTATACTTTCAGCCACCAGCTGCAACTCTATTAATAAACCGTTTATTATTATTATTATACTGTACAGTATTATGATTTCAATTAAATACAGTAAACCCTTTAATTAGTACACTGGTTTAAACAATGCGGCCCTCACTCCTCCGCAGATTGCACTAAGGATTGCATGGCTGTGAGGGCTCTCTACGGTGGTGTGGGAGAGTTCCACTTCATCTTAGAGATACAGAATGCACATCCATGTTCTTCATATATCTTATTTTATAGTTTTATGTTATATGGCAACATACATTACTATGTTGTATAATGTTTTTATTTTTTATGCTTTCATTATTTTTCCTAAATACTTTCTGCTGAAATTAACTTGACAATCAGGATAAAGTAAACTTACAGCAGAGGTAGTGTGGTGCACATTTAAACTGAAATAGACCTAACCAGCCGACTCACCAGCTGTGCTATTGACAAACTGCCCCCTGCTTCCTCACTTATGATCACCTCCCACAAAGAATGCACACCCATGCTCTTCCTAATTCTTATATTATAGTTTTATATTATATTTTCTTTATTTCCAAGTCATATTAGAGTATATTGAATTGATTCTTCCACAACTTTTATAGTTTCATTACATGTAACAATGGCATCATGCATTACCGTCTTGCAGGCCACAGCTGACTGGCATGTCAGCCAGCTGACTCCCGGTATGTGTTTCAGAAAATGGACTTCTTTAACAATTATTTTACTCTATATATATGATGTGGTTTAGAAATAAGAAAAATGAAGAGCATGGGTGTGTACTGTATGTATTATGTATGATAAGTGAACATGTGTGTAGATGGTGGGCCATAACTACGTCTCTAACTCACCAGCCTACCCACCACGTTTATTGTTGATTTTAATGAAACTATGAAAATTTAAAAAAAAATCATTACAATACTCTAATGTGGCTAAGAAATAAAGAAAATATGATATAGAACAGTAAAACGAAGAGCTTGAGTGTGTATGTGCGAGAAGTGAACGTGTATATACGGAGGTGGTTCTAGCCAAGACCTTGACTGTAAATACCGTGGCCGACTTGCCAGTCCAGCTGCCTCGTATATTATTACATGTAATGAAGTTATAAAAGTTGTGAAAAAATCATTTCAATTCTATTGTGGCTTAGAAATATGGAAAATATAATATAGGACTATAAAAAAGAAAATTAAAGAGCATATTTGGGAAATAAATGTGTTATGAAGAGGGTTTTTCTTCATATTTTGGCAATTTGTGCTTTCTGTAGGTGAACATCGCGGTTTTGGGTCTTCACAGGGTTTTCATTAACCTAACCCCCGCATTGTTTAAATTGTCGTACAACTACAGTACAGTTCATATTTTCAGTAATGTTTATTGAAAAAAATTTTTTTTTTAAACAACAAATATTCTTTAAGTTTTTTTACTTACTCTGTAAATACTGATCCTCTACATAGGCAACACACTTTGCCCCCTTGAAAAATTGCTGTGAGTGTTGGTGATTATTTAAATAGATTTCTAAGTGTTTCTGTAATCCATACTTTATTTTGGGAGGTTTGGCTATGAGAATAACATGAAGTTGTTTGAAGACAACTTCATTGTCAAAAAAATATCAAATTAACCCAAAATATACAGTAATAAATTAAGAATATGAAATTAGTGAAGGTTCAGTGTACTGTACTGCCTTTGTAAGTTGATGATCACTTTCTTGTCTTTATTGCATTGTGTGTCTTACGAATGAAGAGTTAGAGCAGACAGAAATAGAAGACTTGACCTTATATCAGTAATATTATGCAGTGCCTAGGGTTAGGCTCTTATAGATTTCCGAATGATTCAATGTTTTATGTTTCCACAGCCAAAACTCAAGCAAAACTTAGAATTATCCGACCTCTGAGTGTTGTCATGTTGCCAGTGGTGGCAACCAAACGAGGTTTTGATGGTCAGTTTGTCACATTTACAACCAAAAATTGTATATATCCTGCCCTACTGGTCCTGGACAAACACTTAAAGGAAAACGTCTCTATAATTACTGAAAGTAAGTATCACTGGTGGAATATTTAAGTAGATATACTGATGTGGCTGTATGTGTTAATACTTAAATATATAGCTTTTCCACATTTGACCTAAGAATAACATTCTTTGTATACCGTACAGGTACTTGTATTGAATGCATTTCTAATTTCAATAAATTATTTGCAGGTATTACTCCAGAACAAAACTTAAGTGAAGGGGAAGAAGTTACCTTATGTTCAGACTGTCCTAAGTTATATGCTGAGGAAGTTTCATTTTGTCTTCTCTCTAATAAAGAATTAAATGGATCAATTGCTTTCACACTATTTTTGAAAGAACAACTTGTAGTTAAGGGTCTAATTATTTGTACTGGTATGAATATTTTTGTTAATTACCTGAGTCAAGAAGTAATTCTCAGGGTTCACAATGTCAGATTTTCAGCAATACAGGAAACACAGTTTCCTCAGATACCATTTCAGTGTATCTGGCAAACTCGAGTGATTACACAAGGTGTGACAGAATCAAATATAAAACATATAAAGCAGCAAATTAAGTTTGAAGATATTGGTGGCTATCAGCATGAGTTTCGTGACTTACTTCATCAGATTGATATGTTATTTTCTCCTATTACATCCGGTGTGAAACCAGTGAAAGGAATATTGATTAGTGGACCCTCAGGGTGTGGGAAAAGCTTAATAGGTGAAGCTTTGAAAACAAAGTTTGGTAACAAATGTGTTAATATCCAGCTTGAAGATATAAAGAGCAAGTTTAGAGGAGAGACTGAGCAGAACCTGAAGCAGTGCTTTGTTAAGGCTTTTAACAGGCAAGTGTTTCCAATTTTAATAGTTTGGACAAATTTTTTGAATATTTATAAAATGTTGCACTGTATCTTTGTGCCTATGCAAACTTCATGATGTTGAGAAGTGGCTTGCAAGTTAATCCACTGCCAGAGGTGGGTGGTAAAGAAATAAAGGTTCTTAATTATATATGCTGTATATGTATTACAATTTTCATAATAGTTTGTAAAATTTTGAATTATGAGAGACATTTCTGAATACTATATGTGACGCACATGTCGCCATGGGATGTGACCGCTTGTCTCTGTCTAAACAAGTACTGTATACACCACACATGTCGGTCAGCTGTGGAGGTGCACATCAACAGTGTACTGCACAAGCTTTTTCCATTTGTTTTTCCAACATTGCCCAGTATTTTGTTTTGTTTTTCCTCAGTAGATGTCCTTCATATTTCATAAAATCTCATAATTTGTAAGGGTTAGAGCCCCTATTATTTCAAATTACTGTATAGGGGTTTTACTGTAGGATAATATATATGATGAAAAAGAATCATAGATACTGTAAGTTACAAGTAAATATTTAAAAATGTATCTTTTCAGCTTCTGACACAATTGGTGTAAATAAAAATATTAATAATAATAATAATTAACGGTTTATTGAAAAAGTTATGCAGCCCGAAGGCTGAAATTATACATTGGACATAAATTTATTACATACATTGGTGGTTTAACAAAAGCCTTCATTAGAGAATAGTAAAGGAACATACAGTGAACATACAGATTAATGTTTACAGTGGAGGTCACGTAGATAATGTGCGCTGAGGTGTTGAACAGCAAACACATAGTGTAGTAACTCCCTCACAGATGGTGTTATGAGGGGCATCACGTGGTGTAGTAATTCCCTCACAGATGGTGTTATGAAGGGCTTGACATGGTGTAGTAATTCCCTCACAGATGGTTTTATGAGGAACCTGACATGGTGTAGTAATTCCCTCACAGATGGTGTTATGAGGGGCCCAACATGGTGTAGTAATTCCCTCACAGATGGTGTTTTGAGGGGCATCACATGGTGTAGTAACTCCCTCACAGATAGTGTTATGAGGGGCCTCATGTGGTGTAGTACCGTATATACTCGTCTATAATTCTACCTCGTTTATAGGTCGACTGGTTTTTTGACCAAGAAATCATTAATTTACGATATGCCTCGTTTATAGGCCGACCCAAGTTTTTTAGTGTGAAATATCGAAAAGGTTTTTATTACCGGTATTTTTTGTAGATCAATGAGTATTGTGATACCGTATATGATATGATAAGTTAGCCTGTGCTAAGAACTTCAACATAGACTACTGAAAGCACGTTGTAAGGTAATTTAGCCTATTGTAAGTTGGTGAGCTTCATCTGCTGAAGGCACTGCACAGCTTTTCATTACTAATTGGTACATATTTTATGTTTCCATTGTTTACTGGCAGTAAATGGTAAATATTTTTCATGTCTGAAGCTAAAAGTTGCTCCTCGCCCGTCCCATCATGCACAGATTCAACCTAACAAAACTATTACCCATGTAGAGGTCGACCCCCAAATTTTTGCCTAAAAATTGGTCTTAAAAACTCGAACTACACACGAGTATATACGGTAATTCCCTCACAGATGGTGTTATGAGGGGCATCACGTGGTGTAGTAATTCTCTCACAGATGGTGTGTGTGTGTGTGGTGTGCACGCTTGCGTGCATATGTGCAGGTTGTGTAGACAAAACTACTTATTGTCCCTGTTCAGCAAAAACCTATGTCATAACTTCAGCATCCTCCAATGTTATGAAAATATATGAAAAAAGTAAATAAAGAAATTTGATCTTGGAAAATCTGTTAGTCAGGATTGACTTGTTTTGAACTCCAATCCTAACTATGTTTATGTTTAATTTGAGATCTTAATGTCAGTGGTACCTTTTAAGTTCCTCATAATTTGTGTTAATTGTCTTCAGGTCTGAACTTCAGTATTGTATATACAGTAATTGATGTGGATTCTTAGTCTTAAGCTCCATTGCATTCGCTGTATTATTCATTAACAAGCAAAATTCCCAATTTTGCAGCAATGTTCTAAGGTATGGGAACTAGAGAGGTACTACTCATCTGTTGGTCACTACAGTATCAACAAAAGAACTAAAAAATTTAACCAAGGCAGGCAATGATCAGACCAGAATATTTAACTTATCTTTCTATAGATAATATTTTCTGATTATTACCACCTCTCATGCTCTATGTATTTTCCCTAGGGTTCCATGTCTTGTCTTCATTGATGACCTAGATATACTGTGCAGTTCACGAGACAGGAATGGAGATACTGGGATAGTTACATCTCTTCTTCATCTTATGGATGGCCTTGGTACCACCAGTGATGGTAAGTCATGTTTTATCTCACCATCATCATTCTTCACTATTTTATGATCACACAGTGTGTGTAGCTTGGAGAGCTGTCATCAGACAGCTCTCCAAGCTACACACACACTTCCAGCCTCTCTCCTAGAAGCTATCAGGTTAATTTGAAGCAAGTCTTAAGGCTGGATGCCCCTCCTGTCACTGCTGCAGAAAGATCTCTGTGAGCTTCATGAGTGGTTGAAGAAATGGCTGCTAAGATTCAATGGGCCATACCAACAACGAGAAGGCATATCATATGTCCCAACATGGCAAAGAAACTGCTTCAATAGAGACTGAATGCAAAAAGGATCTGGGTGAGTGTGTATGTTGACAATGAACTGAAGTTCTCAGGCCATTGTGAGAAGAAGGTGAATCAAGCAACTAAATTATTGGGTCTTATAAGAGGACCATCCATCGTAACGATTTTCAAGAGTGAGGTGCTTCCCCGCCTGAAGTACTGTCACCCTGTCTGGTCCCCGGGATATGCTAGGAACTGTCAGTTGATTGAAAAAGTCCAAAGGAGGGCCACCAGCCTGGTGCCTGCACTTCAGTACCTCGGCTATCCAGAGAGAGATTAGTGTGCCTGTAACTGCCTAGCTCAGTGATTCCCAACCTGGGTGGTAGAGCCCCCCAGTGGGTGTTTTTATTAATTAAGGGGCAGTAAACACTAAGGGGGTGGCAGGGGGCAGTAAACTCATATGGGGGTGGCAAGGGGGCATTTAGAAAATTTTGTGAAACAATTTAAAAAGATTCAAACAGAAAAAAAATGTTTCCACAACGCTGATATGTTTATCACCTTTGCATCTGTTGACCTACAACCCTGTAATCTACTACATCACTAGACTAACAGCTTTTCTAATCATGTTGAAACCTGCGTTGAGTCACGGGGTGTGCTGGCAGAGGCGATTTGTCTCACACAGATATACGGTGATTGGCTTTCTGTCTTCTGAGGTTAGATGAGATGTAGCAATGTCTCATACTAGGTAACGCCACGCAGAAAAAAGGCTGGTCTACTGTCTTCAGTTGTGCGTGCGGCTGGTGCACATTTCGTACACATCACCTACTTAATTAGTTAGATTGCTTGTTGTTTCAATGATAAATAATCACTGATCAACTTGGATAAGAAGAGAAAGTGCTGGCAATATTCACAGGATTGCTTATAATTTGGAATTATTCCAACTCCTACAAATGAGCAGTTACCTATGTGCTTAATTAATCTGTGAACAAACATTCTCGAATGAAGCTATGAAGCCTTCAAGATTGAGTGAATATTTGAAAAAGAAGTTCTGTACTGTAGTATTTTATTTTATTTTAATTTTGATTTTTTAACTTAATAGACTTTTAGTTTATTTGTATTACAGTTTTTATTTGTGATCTTAATTTTCAGCGTCAACTAGCCACAGGCTGAGACGCCTGATATTTTACCCGATCAATCAATTTTCAGTTTGATTTTCAAGTTTTAATGAAAGAAACACCAGAAGGAATAGAGGAAAGTTTCATTAACCATTAAGTAATGGCAGTGTATGAGTATTTTTATGCTGATTCCATTTACAGTGTTTGTGTTAGTACAGGTATAGGGATTTATATTCAATTACTAATTTTTATTAAGGTATAGATTATTGAAGTTAAAAAGCCTCTCTGTGGTTATCTGCAGGAATACTTGTAATTGCTACAGCATCAAAACCTCAAACTCTTGATGCAGCTTTACGGAGACCTGGGAGACTTTCCCACGATGTGGTGTTGTCACTTCCTGATGAATTTGCCAGAAGAGAAATCCTTCAAAAACTGCTGTTTGGGTATGTTGAACATTAAGTATGACATTAATTCACGTGATCCTCTACATCTATCTGAAAGGAATTCTTTATATATTTGAAGTAATAAATGTTCCAAGGTTTAGGTAACCCAAAATGAGAACAATCAGGAAACTAGACATCTCATTGTGCTGCTTTTTATATTATTCTGTAAAATTGTTCTGTGATATAATGAACAACCTATGAGATATAATAGGGATAAAGAGAGCAAGGTGAGTAAAGAGATGACGCCATTGTAGAATTTAAAAATCTTTAGAAAGACTCAGAGATAAATATTTACCTGGATGATATAAGCATATCCTGTAGTATACTGTATAGTGTAGTGTACTATCAAGGATGGCAGAATGGTGAAGAATTATGAAGTGGTGAAGATTTGTAGTGGTACAATTTTTGAAAGTAGGAAAGACAGAGGGGACCTCGTGCAACTGCAATGAAGATGTATGTTAGTACAGCAGACAGTAAGAAAGGGAGAGGGGAATCTATATAATATTAGTGAAGATGTGTAATAGTATACTATAGTTGAGTTATACTGTAGAAATATTAATGTATACAGTACCATTATCTTCTATTAATGGAATAAATTGAGAGCATGGATGATACAAATGGGTTATGTATAAGTCCATATGATAATTTAGATAGTGTACTGTCTTTATAGATGCATCCACTGAACCAACACAGTGATTGAAAATACTATAGAATATTACAGAGTATGTAAGGTTACTGTCTTGTTAGGTTAAAAAGGGGAGTCATAAAGTATCTTAAAATGGGTACCAGTATATGATAAAACAATCGAATCACAACTCTTTATTTTTCAATATGGGTGTATAGTTTTCTCCAATTTCAATACACTTACTTTGCTTGTCCTTCAAATTTCACCATGACAATCTTATAGAAATATTGCAACTGCTCCTCATGTCATTTCTTAGTTATTTCCTTCACCCCTTCTTTTTTCTAAAAATGGTACCCTCAGAAGTGTCAACTCAGGTTTTAAAAAAGGATTATCGGCACTTTGGATCAGGTTTGGGCTGCAGGGTATGGCTTTACCTGGGTTTTTAACCTGTGGAGGTACAGTAGTGCACAGTACAGGCTATTTTACCTTCCAACGTTGTCATATGATGTAAAGACATTATAATTTGATGTTAGATGCATACATATATAAATGCACACATTTTGTCATCTTCAGAGGTAGATAAATTTACAGCAACTGACAGAGGAGCTATACGCAAAAAATGTTATGACCGATGGTATGAGTCGGATGGGTTTTACTGTACCTGAAGCAGGGTGGAGGATTAGTGATACTCAGGTAATCTGACTTGATTGCACTTCTGCTATCAGCCACGACTGAGAAGTAACTAGCAGGCCTAGAGGTAATTTGTAGATCGTGGGCCTCGTGTTCACCTCCATACATGCCAGTTGATTAAATGGGATGAATCTATATGGCAATAAGATTTAAAGTACTGTACTCTGTACATGTATCGACGAGAAAATTATTACCGCATATGGTATGGTAATCTCACTGGCATTGTTTACTACATGTGGTGCAGCAATCACATTGAAGGAAGGAAACAAAGCCTCTTACTACCATTGCTTTTGGTCTTAGTGAAAATTAAGTTTTCACTTTTTTATTTTTTATTTATTTACAGGTGCATTATTTATTTTTGTATTATTTAATTATTTATAAGTGCTTTCAAATGGCTTGTAATTATTATAAGTTACCAGATCCCCATAGTAAAGCCATATTTTACACTTTGAAGAGAATGGCACAGTGTTTATTTCAGCAGCTATTTTTCCAACTACAGTAAAACCTCGATAAATAGGACTTCAGTACAGGTACTATATGGAAAATTGTGCATCAGTCTGGATGGTTTGTTTGTTCATACATACTGTAAGTGGGTTTCATGCAGCACATGCCTCAGTCTGACTTCCACATTCATTCATATCACCAGTGCATTGCAGCTCGCTATCTGCACTCATTTACGTCAACTTTTAGTGGTTTACTACAAACTTTATGTGTTGCAATGGCTTCCTCTACCCTATCAATGTCTCATGTCTCTATAGTGTTATTTAATTTGTACAATTAACATTAAGTATAGTATGCGAAGTGAAAAGAACAACATACAGTACCTGTATTGTTGAAGTTGTAAATAGAAAATTATTACTATCCAATTTAAATTTTAAGTGCCAAACAATTAACATACTGTTTTGTAAAAGTACCTGAAACAAAATTATACCTGAACATCATAAGTGTGTCATCTACTTTCACTATTGAGTCTACCGTGTACAGTATCTAATACGGTAAATAAAAAACTTATCAGTTTTATATATTTTGTTCTGTTTTTTCCATAAAGGTTTTGTCTTTAATGGGAATACTGTACAGTGTTTGAATCAGATTTGATATAGGCCTAACAAGAGCAAATGGTATGAGATGGTATTTCATAGGCACCGCATTTGCCAGTTTGTTTTTATTTATTAATTATTATATTCTTGTATGATCAGCCTCTTATGGTGTATGTTTTATTATTAACTTAAGGGGGCATTTTTATACCATTGGTTAGTTTCTGGGAGGTTTGTTCATAAGATCTAAGTGTCATAATGCAAACGTTTATTAACTGGGAAGAAAGATTATACAGTTTTTTCTTTATAATTATTCTATGGTATACTTTATACTATACCTCAAATACTGTATTGATGATGATGTCTTCTGTTTTTCAGTGTGTCTAATGACCTGGAAGAATCAAAGTTGACTACTTTAGCTGTTAATGCACATGGCTATGTAGGAGGAGATCTACAAAGTGTTGTAATGGAATCGGTAATGCAGACACAGGGTAGAAAGCTTACAATACAAGACCTAGAAGCCTCAGTGGCAACTACAAAGCCTGCAGCACTCAGGGAATCTACCTTGTCAGAGTTTGAGGTGAGATGGGGTTAGCTCACATGATTTACAGACAAATAATTTTGAATTATCAACTATATTTTGTACCTGTATCACCAAGAATGCTATTTTTAATCATAATTCATTAATATACAGTAGAACTTCTATACACTGGAATTTGCTTTGTCGTTGTTTTTGTTGTTGTTTTTTTTGTACTCTGAGGTGCTTCAGACTACCCCACTATCACCAGAAGTATTATAAAAAGTCTGGAAAATTCAACATCAGTTCAGATGATTTGTGTGTTTGTACATGCAGTTAAACGTTTGTTCATAGGTGTCGTGCAGCACATGCCTCAGTCTGAGTCCTGCCCTCATACATGTCATATCAGTGTGCTGCACCAGTTTGAGGCACCCACCTCCTGTGCTATAGCTACTTTCTTTTTCAAATTCTCTGATACTTGCAGCACAGTTGCTGCAACTTAACACTTTGGCAGTGCTGTCGTTCTGTCGTAATGGACCGTCGAATCTTGTTTACTTCGCTGATATCCACCTCGCCTGTTGCGTTCTGAGCTATTAGGTGGTCAGTGAGGGCTGCCGCGAGCTTAACTGAGTTTTGATATTCGGTGGCAGCAATCTTCCCTTGGATTGGTCAATCCCATCCCTCCCAGTCTCAGTGGTAGTGCAAGGAGTGATTTTCTGCTAGGGTTAAGTGAGGGTGTTTCACTAATATTGGAATGAAATTAACGCTGATAGCTTCTTCCAGAGGGTGGAGGAGGGGTCCGATATCAGGGATAGTGCACATCAGGTAGTACCAGCGATGCTTGACTCCGTGGGTGAATGCCGCAAAAGCTGCATGTGGCTCTGTGTTAGCAATATCAGACAGAGCTTGGATTTCCCTGACCGACTCATTCACCTTTCCCATTACGTACTCGGTCTTGAAGTCTGTCATGCCGCTTACTGCGCCTAGGTGCCTTTGGCCCTCCTTTGTTATTTTGACCTCACTTCCACCGAACACCTCCATTGCCCGTTCGTAATGTTCTGGCTTCACTATGAGGAAGGACTTGCTGGCATTTGGGTTGTACCCTATTTGTGGACCATATGATGCTATCAGGTCCCACCACTTTTCCTGCTCCTGTAAGGTCGTCAGTATACGCCACTTGCTTGACCTCAGTTGTTTCAAATTTTATTGTGTGTTGGATCACAAATAAGCCTATTGCGTACATTGCCATTGCAACAGGGTCCACCTGCGTTGTTCCCTCAGTTGATTGTATGATGGTATCACCTCTTAGAGCCTTGATGTTTACTATATAGAGGTCTGATGGATTCCTATAGGTGTTTTCAACATACATTGTTGTACAGTGTGGCCTTGCGGTTAAGTATGTTGAATGCGTTGGAAGCGTCAACCAGGAGAACTGCCTCACAATCACGCTGTTCAAATATCGTTCTCATGGCGTGGATGACAGCTTCCCCTCCAGCCTGGTGGCCAGCACAAACTTGCAGGTTCCATGCCGCTGCCCTGACATCATCCTTTACCACCTCCATTATGCATTTTCCAATGATTTGCCTCAGCACTTCCCCCACCCCTATAGGCCTACAGCCTGGATTCTTATCCAGGGGAATGAGGCGGCAGGCCGTTTGAGCATGGAGGTGGTGGCAGCACTCGGTTGCTAGCTTTCTTTCAAGAGTAGCAATGGCAGTGCCGAGATCACTTGCTGCGGGACCAAACTTGTCAGTGCTGAGGATGACTCTCCAACCGTTTGCATCCAGGCCTGAAGGGCCGGCCCTTTCCTGAGTTTTCAGTGCTTTTTTTCCCACACCATCCCTCCTGTTATTTTCTCGAAGAGGACAGCATTTGGTGGGATAGAGTCACCCTGGAACCTGATGCCTTCCAATTCACTTGCAGGGTTTTTTTTTTCCTTCAGTTGTTTTAATGTCTCTCTGTTTATTGGCAGAACATCACCGGACAATTCCTCTGTAAGAGATCTGACCGCCACAGACACTTTTCCCCCACCCATTTTGTTTCCAAACTTCCTTGCAACATCATCGGTCTTTTGCTTTCCGTCTCCTATAAATTTTAGTCTCTCCTGCAGTGTTCTTACTTCACATTGGAGATCATCAAGAGCCCCACTCTGCCACATTGTCAATCTTCTCTTCATTGCTGCCACATTTTCTTTGTGCTTAGTCCTTGCGTGTGTTCTCTGACAGAATAGATGTGGTATTATTGCCAGTATTTGAAGAGCTAAAGGGGCAAGCAAGCAGTCCTGAGTGTACTCGGTTATGAGGCGAGTCATCTCTCGAATCATTTCTTTGGTGGCTGCGCACTTGGGTGGTTCAAACAGGTTAGCTGGAGACCACCTGACAATTTCTGAGTAAGTTTCTTTAACCCCTATGTCCACATTTTCCATCGACATGCCATTCCACTGTGGTGGCTGTCTGCCATTCACCTCGTGGACATCTGCTACTATTGGGGCAGCCATGTGGATTCCAGCAATTGTTTCCCTTTCTGCAAACCACACATGGTCAGTTGTTTCTTGCACATTCACAGCTAGTGCAATTTTGGTTTTGGCTAGCACAGACGCAACACTGTTACCCGGCATAGTGTTCCGCACTTCGGTCGACAGTTACGTCTGCCTACGACATCTGCTTTGGTCCCATACAGAGGAAGAAACTAGTTCTTATGAGGAAAGGGCAGAGAGGCGACAGGCTGGACTGCTGTGTCCGGGTAGTAGGGGCATACATGCACGCTTGGGTGTGTAGGCCCCCCCCCCCTCGAGGGCGACAATCCACACATCAGAGTGATGCAGTGGGAGCAAGAATTGTCACACCTAACACTTGTTCATATATCCTTGGCAGAAATAACCACTATTTCTATGGTCGCACTGATGTAAGATTAATTATACCTGTATATACTCACGTGGTCGGCTGGCACTATATGAAATGACCGTTACTTGTGAGAGGCAACCGCAAGCGTAGAACACTTGGCCTTCTGTTACTGACCATAGGGGCAAGAATTGCGAGGCCACACCCGCCAAAGTAGGCCTAACCCATAATTTTCATTAATTGTATTGTTTTTTGATGAAAAGAGGGTAAAAAGCCACACAAAAGATATGAAAAGGTCACACTTGGGAATGCATCTCATTATTATTGCTTTATTTTAATGGTAATTATGATTCGCGATAAGATGATACACCTTACACTGCAATATTGGAGGACACCTTAACGTCATTATTCGAGGCTTTACTGTACTGGTGTATTTGATCTGGCTGAGGGTCTCTGCAGGTTTTTCCCATGAGAGTCTTGAGATTATCCCATTTGGCACTGGGATTTGGGTTTTTCGTTGTTGGGTTGTTTATCAGCCCATGTTCAAGCTGCTCTCTGAAAGCATGTGCTACCGCTGGATCCGCCAGACACTTTGTGTTAAAACCTCTTCGAGAGGCTTGCAGCCTTTACTGTTTTGGGGCGACGTGAAGTGAGAGCTTGGCTCTGACGAGCTGTTAATTAATCAGTGTCACAGTGGTCTGACGACGCATGGCTCGGGTGATGAGGACATCTCGGCGATCTCTTTCTCTGACCATGATGTAGTCAATGAGATGCCAGTGTTTGGATCGTGAGTGTTGCCACGAACCCTTGAACTTATCAGCCTGCCTAAACAAGGACAGGTATTGGTGATAGTGAGGTTGTGTGCAGCACACTTGCTGAGGAGGAGTAGGCTGTTGGGATTACACTTACCTAGTCCATTTCTCCCTATGGTTCCCTGCCAAATGTCAGCATCTCTGTTAACTCTGGCATTGAAGTCATCAAGGAGCACAACTTTATCTTCTCTGGGGATAGAGGTTAGCACTCTATCGAGGTCGGCGTAAAAGGCCTCCTTGATGTAATCCTCTGCATCCAGTGTTGGGGCATGTGCACTGATGAAAAAAGCATGATGTGAGTAATTCAGTGGGACTCGGAGCATCATGAGGCGCTCGTTGATCCCAATAGGCATTTCAGTTAGCCTGTGTAGGATGCGTTGGCAGATGGCAAAGCAACTCCATAAATGCGGTTTCTCTCAGCAGGCTTACCCTTCCAGAAGAAGGTATAGCCAGACCCCCATTCTGTGAGTTGACCCTTGTCTGGGAGCTGGGATTCACTAATGGCTGCTGTTTCGATGTTATACCTAGCCAGCTCCTTTGCCACAAGGACGGTTCTTCTTTCAGGACTCTCATTTGTGCCAGTATCCAGAAGAGTCCTGACATTCCATGCAGTGACCATAAGAGGTTGTATGGTTTGTTTTTGTTTGTATCTGTGATTTTGATTATGTTTTCAACCGCATAAGGATGACCTTACTGGGTGCGATTGCCCAGTCAGGTTGGTTTTTTAGGCAGGCTATGTTTAAGGCACCTTTCTAGCCCCCTCCCCATGTGGGGTGAGCAAAGTGACTCCTCGAGAGGGCTGCTCAGTCGCACAGACTTGACCGGATTGCACTGCTGCCTCGATTCCAGTGCATAAACGACCATCTTATCTGTGCTGCCCATGTGCAGAGTTGTGCCTGTTCCAGTCGCCACTCATCCCTTTGGGGCTCACTGCTACTCTGAGATCCCCTGCTGGTCTAGCCTGGGCCCACGAGGCGCCCAGCTACCATGTGTTGCCAAGAGGAGGCACAGCAGGAGTCTTGATGGTGAAGAGGCTGTGTAAGCGGAAGACTTATGCAAGTTGCTTCCCTGTTCGCAACGAGGGCGAGCCAGCGGCAGTAGCGGAAAGCGAGAGGGAGCAAGCATTGCCTGCACCCTAACACTAACATAATGCTGCCACACTAGATTCATTACACCACCCTGTGTGTGGCTGCACACACACACACACACACACATGGTTTTCATAAAAAAAAATTATGGAAATTTTAGCAAAGTTCTGTATTTTAAGTAATTATATTAAAGTGTTCATCACACTTTTAATGTACTGTATTAAGCCCTGTATTACGCTGATAGTGTATGATAAGTATTTTTTAAAATTTTAGTAATACCAGATGTGTTTTGCAGGTTAAACTACCGGATATTTGTGGCTATGACAGAATAAAATCGAAGCTCCATGAAGCACTAAGTTTAACATTGGCCCATGGCTCAGTGTTCCACAAATGTGGTATAACTCCACCATCAAGATTCCTGCTATTTGGACCTCCAGGCTGTGGTAAATCCTCCATCATAAAGGCACTTGCTACTGATTTTCATCTTCGTATTATTCCAGTCAAGAGATCCACCGTACTTGGCAAATACTTTGGAGAGTCTGAACAAAATCTGGCTAGAATTTTCTTAAAGGTAATGTTAATTAATTTTCAGTTCTTCTATTACTCATGTGTTGAATGTGATGTGCTTATAGGAGATACAGTTAGCATAGATCTTATGTTCTGTCACATAAATGGGAGGGTCATGTGGCATTATGTGTTCATGTAGATTATGTGGAAAATTTACTTGTCCTAAACAAGTGACTTTTGAAATTTACTTGCCTGGGTATCTTTTTTTACTTGCCCTTATAAATTTTGCAGGAAATTTGCTTGCACAGATTTTTATGTGAAAAGTTAAATTAATATTTTAAAGCATACAAATTACTTGTGTGTATCAACTGATGGAGCATTTGTGTTCGTGTAAATGCCTTTTACCCTCATCATTCTCCATCCAGTGGTGTTTGAAGAACGTATGCAGCAATCAGTGGGAGATTTTATGCAGACTATTTGGTCAGGCGATTGTAGGAATTGACCAATATAAATAGGAAGGATCAGTTGTGACATCACTGAGGCTGTAGCATGTGCCTGGGCTTTCTTAGCAGGTCAGGTCATTGTATGAAAAGAAAAGTCAGGGATCAACTCGGCTGTGATATCATGACATAGTATTAGGTCACACACACACACACACTAATAATAATAATAATAATAATAATAATAATAATAATAGTAGTAGTTGCCCCTCGTGTACGAAGATGGTTGGCCCCAGGGCCACCTAGGCGAGAATTTGTTTAAGGTGTAGAAACTGTCACCAACACAACACCCACACCCTAAGTTAACAAGTTGCATGACCCAGTGTCAAGGAATAGTCCAAGAATACCAGAAAATTCGCCAACTGCACTGGCTAAACATTACCCTGGAACACAGTCCGCAAATCGATTATGATCCGGGTCCCCAATTACTGCTGGGCAGACAGAGGCAAATGCTCAGGAATTGAACCCGGGACCACTCGCTTACGAGGCGACTATGCTGACCATTACACACACACACACACACACTCTCTCTCACTCACTCCCTTCCCTCCCCTCACTGGTTGAATATGTATGGGGAGGTGGGGTCATGCAATGCCTGACAAATTCCTGTCTGGTAATTTTCCTCTTATGAAAAAAATCACTTGGCTGTCTCATAGTCCGGGCTGCCAGACACTGCTATTCTGCACAGCCTGAGTTAAGATAGAGGCTGAAAAATGTGGTTGACTTCATAGACAAGTTGCACATCTCAAATGCAGAAAGACTTAATAAATGCACAGTGCTGTTAGTGAGAATCACCATCCCTAAACATGAGCACAAGCTGGAAATCTTGAAGGAGGCACAGAACTTCAAGCAGTTAACAGAGTACAGCAGTGTCTACATCACGCTCATCATGACAGTTCGCCAATAAAAATACGACAAGCCGTTCTGAGACAAACTGAAAGGGTTACCTAGCAACACACAATATGGAAATGCTCAACTAAAGATCAGAAGAGGAAATGTAGTCTGGATACAGGAAGATGAGGGGGTCAAATTGAAGTTCCAGCCCTTCCTCAGTGAGGGCAAGAGATACGTTCCAAGAGAGGTCACTTTAAACCAAATTCGCACTAAATCGAAGTGTTGTTTCAATGGAATAATTTAGTTTGGTACTTGAGAGAAACACAAAATACTAAAAAGACTGAGAGTCTACCCAGATGCACCTCAGCCCATCTTCTAGAATAAATAAAACATTGTTTTTTGTAGTACAGTATTAAATCTAAATCAATACAGCTAAAATTATGGGATGTGAAATGGTCTGTTTACTAGCGATCAGCTGATGGGAAAATAGGGGGGGGGGGAGGTGAGGTGATATGTTTGACAGTTGATGCCAAGGTCTAGTGCTTACTTATTTATCTGTCCTTAAGAGTGACTTTAAGTTTTTCTCTTATAGAATGAAACTGAACTGACAAGTTTTTCTCTTATAGAATGTAACTGAACTGACATGTTCTAATTAATTTTATTCCAAAGGGATAAAATTTAATCTCTTGTGCAAAATATATGACGTTTATATTCAAATTATTCGCTGTCTTGCAAGGATTCTAGCAATGCAAATTATTTTCTCCTAACTTTAGTCTGTGATATTATATAAGATAAAAACCGTAAGTTTATAACCACCCAACCCTGACTGGGTGGTTGGGGGGGGGGGGAGGTGACAGTGACACATTTGGGTGCCGAAGGTCTAGTGAGGTATTTATTTGTTTATTTATGTCCTTTAGATTGAGTTTTTGGTTTTGGTTTATAAAATGTCACAGAAGTGACCGGGGAGAATATAATTAACATTGCTGGAATTCTTATAAGATAGTGATTAATTTGAATATAATCATTCTATAGTTTGCACTAGACAAAAACATTAGGCGCGAATTTTAAAATATGGTGCACCAGATTGACTCGTGCAAAATAGGAAAGATTCGCTTTAAAATAAAACATTGTCCTTAATTGTGGGTGTCGCTTTAAATCAATAATCTTAAATTGAATCACTTTAAATCGATGTTCTACTGTATAGAGTATGCTGTAGCTTTAAGTAATACTATTAACCCAGAGGGAACATACAAGTAATGCCAAGTGGAACCTGAGAGTGATTCAACTAACTTTCAAAGAGGACAAAATTTGAAACTGGGTCAATCAAGTGCTGGTACATGAACACCAGGAATCTAATTACAGGTAATAAGACTGAAGTATTAAGCGTATATGCGGACAGAACAACCAGACATCATTGAGATCAGTAAGGAATGGGGTTGAGATGATGTCATAGGGTGAATTTTATTTTCCAGGGTATCACCTACCATTTAGAAAGGGCAGAACCACAAGAGGTGGTGGTGTACTACTGTATGTCAAGGAGCCCCTGAAAGTAACCGTTAATAACTACCCGGTAGTTAAATGAAATGGGGTCATCCTAATCTATTTGGTGTGATGTGATAACATAAAACAAAAGCAAGCTGACAATAGGTGTGTGCTGTAGGGCCAACTCTGCAATGGAGGGGGAAGTGGCAGATCTTCACAGTCATCCAGAGCAAAAGTTATGATCATGGGAGAATTTAATCATGAATTTTACCATAAAAGTTGAGGGAGAAGAATTCCTTGACCTCATTCAAAGATTCTTTCCTCATACAACACGTGACAAAATCCACGACGGGAGACAAGTTAGTTAATTACAGCAGTTAATTTATTGAAAAAAACAAAAAAACATAACATGTTAAAAAAAATTACATTCTGGATTTAGTCTTGAAGACTTAGGAGGCAATGGTGGACAAGGTCCATGTCCGGGAAAAACTAACTCCAGCCAGCAATCACCACATACTAAGATGGAACATTATCTTTGATAGTCAGGAGAATGTAGTTGAGGTGGAATCCGATGACTTCGACCATGGAGATTACCAGTTCTGAGGGACAAACTACTGAGAATTAACAGTTGAGCAATTTATATCCCAGAAAACAAGGAAGAGAGGGAATAAGACTAGATGGGCAAATCACAAATACAGGAAAGCCTGCAAAAGAAAATTCCATCCATGGAAGAAACACCAGAAAAATATCCCAACTACATAATCATGTGGATTATGTAATATACATAAAGGCCCTAAATGTGGCCAATCAGGAAATTAAATCAGGTAAACAGCACTTGGAGATGAAATTAGACTTTTTATGTGTATCCTGAGCATATAGACAGAAAGCAGATGGCCTAAATAATCACTTTGCACCAGTATTCACACAAGAGACCATGGATAACTTGCCAGTACCGAGGAGAATACATACCTCTGGGGTGGAAAATTAATTGAGAGAGAAACTAAGACCAGCTACCCTGAAAGAATTCAAAGCCCCTGGAGTGAATGAAACACAGACCAAGGTAATAAGGAGGTGGCAAACAAGATATGCACTGCACTGAGATTCTTATTCAGGATATCTCCTTATCAAGGAAAAGTGCCTAGGGACAGGAAAGGAGCCAAAGTCATCCCAATATACAAGAAGGGTAGAAAAGGTGCTGAAGAAGCTGTAAACTCATCATGGCTTGATTGTTTGGAAAATAATTCTGCCTAATAAACTTCCTCATGTCCCCTGAAAGAGTAAGACCACACGGACCAAAACTCACCAGTTTATGTGTTGTACATTGATTTTCTTATAAGGCTTTTGACAAAGTCCCACATGCACAGCTAGCCTCGTAAGATCCAGTCACATGGTGTCATAGGTAATATAGTGAAGTGGATTAACAAATGACTCAAAGCCAGGCAACAAAAGGTGGCAATAAATGGGAGTACATGGATTGGTTTTAGTATGTGTGGATAATAAGGGTTCTGGTTGAGGGGGTTGGATTATATTGTTATTTTTCATAAAAACAATACCAGTAGTTCCCAAATGCTACTTTCCCATATGCCTTGATTCTTCAGGAATGCATCCGTTACCATTTGCTAGGGTTGACTGTATGTGGATCTAAAAACTCATTGGAAATCCTCTTCTCCCAGTGCTGGAGTGGTGTGAAAGTGAAGGATTTTTTTAATTTTCAGCATCTTTTGATTCCCAGTCACAAGTTTTGGTCCCTGGAAAACTGGTTGTATCTTGTAGACTTCATGGGAATACCATAGTTGACCCTAGTCCAACCCATTTAAAATACAGGATGATCAGGATTAATTGTACTTTTTTTTATCAGGCAAATGACTCGTCTCCATGTATCATACACTTTGAGAATTTTGATGGCCTCGCTGGCAAGAAGAAACTTGGTGAGCATGGAGGGACAGATGTTGAGAGTCGCATCATAAATCATCTTAAGGTTCAGCTGGATGGTATTGTTCAAAATGATGGTATCTTCATTTTTGCAGAAACCAACCGCCCGGATCTTCTAAATAAGGTTAGTTGAGTGTTTTTTAAATTGTGTGATTATACTCAAGGGACAAAATAGTTTTTAAAACAATAAAAAGCTAAATATAGTACAGGTTGTACCTCTCTAGTCCGGCAACCTCGGGACCTGACCGGTGCCGGACCATGGAAATTCACCCTTTTCCTGGATAGATAGTGACTTGTGCTTATGCTTGGAAGCACTAGCACCACTTTCTCTGCATCATGGTCTCTTTGAAGACATATTGAAGGGTTAAATGTCGTATAGTAGCTTCTCAATTTTCGCGAGTTTTTAATTCTTAACGTATTTTATTGGAACACAAAAAAATAAATAAATAAAAATTTTGACGGCGGAAACTTGAATTTCGACGGGTTTGAACGGCCCGCCAACGTGCAGACGACGTGCATAATCGTGTAAACAGCGTCATTTCTCTTATGTACAAAAGATTCATTATTGTTTATTACTGAATGTCTTTTTTATTGAATTAATGTTTATGTGTGCAAAATGAGCAATACAATTCATTAATAATACGTAGAATATTAAAACACACGAGGAAATGACACAGCATTGTATTCGTTGATTACAAAACCAGTGACTGACTGGTTCTACATATAAAACTGAAGAAAATAAGACCTTGGTTGTAGCTGTAGTAAAATTAATATGGTTGTTTTAAGTAATGTTATTTAATGTTAATAAATGGAACAATAGAAGTAGCTGACGATAATGGTAAAGAAAAAAGAGAGATCGCATATGTAAGTGCGCATGCGCACACGTGAAAACATATCATCATTACTTTACATAAGAATATGAAAGCAACACTTATTTACTGTTCATATATATTTTAATTAATGTTTCTGAATTTGTTTTTATTGAATTAATGTACGTGTGTGCAAAATTAACAATACAATTTATTAATAATACGTGGAATATTAGAGGAGACGAGACGGCTGCCGGCATTGTTTATGTTAAAGCTTACGAAACCAGTGACTGATTGGTTCTACATATAAAACTGAAGAAAATAAGACCCTGAGTTTAGCTGTAGTAAAATTAATGTAAAAAATGAATATGGTTGCTTGAAGTACCTGTAATGTTATTTAATGTTAATAAATGGAACAATATAAGTAGCTAACCATTAATGGTAAAAAAAAAAGTGAGACTGCTCGTATGTAAGTGCGCACATGTGAAAATATATCGTCATTACTCTACATAAGAATATGAAAGCAACACTTATTTACTGCTCATATATATTGAAGGGTTAAATGTTGTACTCTGTATAGACTCTGTATAGACAAGCAGAGAGAGAGAGAGCAGCCGAACTGCCGGATGTAAACAAACCTTAATTTCCCGGCTTTTTTTTTTTAAGGGGATTAGCCCACCCGGGCAAGGTCACTGACCCACATTGGGGCCTGAGGGGCAAAAATTTAATACTCCTGTAATAATAATAATAAGTAGATAAGAAAAAAAAAAAAAAGCTGCCTATCTACCTATTGGACAAACTAAAATCGTTCCGGACCACGGGAGTTTCCGGACCACAGAATGCCGGACTAGAGAGGTACAACCTGTACAGGCAACAGTCATTAAATGCCATCGTTATGTAATCGATCGTATATTTATATTAATAACTTATGGGGAAAAATGGAATCCATTCCTGAGCCCTTGAAGAGCCCAAATAAGTTTTGTATTCTGCTGCTTACTCCCTCCTTGTGTTGTCCATGCCTTCTTTTACAGGGGACTATTCCTGTATACACCGACGGCTCTAAGTCGGATACAGAGATGGGTTTTGGGGTGGTCTTTCCCAATTTCTGTCAGGACGTTCGTCTTCCCACTATGCCATCTATTTTTACTGCAGAGTTTTCGGGTATTTTACTTCCCCTCAAGATTATTTTTACCCAACCTCATAACAATTTTACAATTTTTATTGATTCTCGTAGTGCTCTCCAGGCCTTAGCTAATGTCTCATCACCACATCCCTTAATTATACAGTAAAACCTCGATTAACCGACTTTCGGATTAACTGTGTTTTTTTTTTTTTTTTTACAGAGATTAGCCCACCCGGGCACATGTCACTGACTCACATCGGGGCCTGGGGGGCGATAATGTAATAATATTAAAAATGATAATGCTAATAATAATAATAATAAAGAACCATAAAGAAATGCAAAAATGAAAAAAATGTCAAGAGTGAGAAACAATGTACCTGTATGTATGTTGTGTTGTCAATAGTAAGAGAAACAATTGAGACCCTGCAATTGTGTGTAAATGAGGCAGAAAGTCAGATCAGCAACTTGGGACTTGGTCACAACTTTTGTGATGACACATGTTCTTTGACTTTTCCATTTTTTATTCACGGTTTCTGTGCTGGTTCATATTTATTTACTTAAGTGGTTTATGTTTTAAAGCAAATTCTATTGAAATATGAATGGCAAATGAACAAAAATGAATAGAGGGACTTAAATGAGGTAGGTTAGGGAAAGGTACTTTGAAAATGTATGTTTTATTTCCATAGACTTTATGTACTATTAACCTACCTTTTCAATTATCCGTCGGCCCCTTCCCCCCATATGTGGTCGGTTAATTGAGGTTTTACTGTAGATATTTTACAGTGGCTATTCTCATCCAACGTCGGGGCTGGAAAGTCGGTTTTTGCTGGGTTCTGGCCCATGTGGGGGGAAAAGGGGAAAGAGCTTGCTGATGCTGCGGCAAAAGCAGCTGCTTCTGGCCCAATGGCAAGTCGTTCCCCTGTACCTGCTTCTGGTATAAAACCAGTAATAAGAGCTGCCATCCGCTTGAGTTGGAAATGCAGGTGGGATGCTGTCGAAGCAAACAAGACCTGCGACATCCACTGCTAGGGAATGTATCCCATTAAACTACCATGTTATAATGCCCCCCATCTACAATATTTTAACAAGCGATGGGTTTTTCAGGAACGTAACTCCATCGCATCTCGGGGGTTACCTATACAATTATCGCTTTTTTTTTTTAATTAAAATTCCATTTTTTACATCAATTTCATTATTCTATATTATTTAACATCAATTTATATATATTATTTGTTATGTATGGGATATTATTGTTGCTTTGCATGGGCAGGGTTGTGCTTTAATCGAACCTAAAATATGGAATTACTGTAACGTTGTTCGACTTGGGACAAATTTACTTACAATCAGGGTCAAGGAACGTATCCCTGTCATAAGTTGGGGACTGCCTGCCCTGTATATATCTCATTGGTAAAAAATACATCAGGAATGCATTTTAATACTGTATATGCACTGGTGCAGTATGATGATCCCATTGTCCACTGTTTTGGATAGCGCTTCATTTTCCAGGAACATATCCTGAGTGCTAATCAGGGTAATTACTGTAGAGTATTACTATACAAGTGATTTCTCTGTTTGCCGGAACAAATGGTGCAGAGCACTTCCGGGAATGAGAGGTTTCCGGACAATGAGACAACTCTCTCAAAGCCGGGAAAAAATCCCTCATCCTCAGAATATTCTGGGTAATGGAAAAATATTCTCAGAAGTTCCAGAAAATGGTCATTACATCACCTCTCAAAACCGGAAAAATCCCTCGTCCCCAGAATATTTCAGGTAATGGCAAAATGTTCTCAGAAGTTTCAGAAATTGTGCCTCATTTTCATCTCTCAAACCTGGAAAAAAAATTCCCCATCCATGGAATTTTCCAGAAAATGTGTCCCTCAAAAAATCGTTCTCAAAGCCAAAATTTCGGGAAAATTCCGGCTTTGGGAACAATTTTCTGAGAAATTTCAATTCTGGCTGTCAGAGAGTTCTGGTTTAGAGGGATTCCAACTAACCGAGATATTAATATTTATTTGAACAAACATTTAGATACAGTAAGTCCTCGTGTAACGTTGCTCCCGACAACGTTGTTTCGTTATAACATCGCTACTCTTTAGATACCCATGATTCGGACAACGTCCCACCGATTCGGTATAACTTCATCACGGACTACTTTGTACGGTGCATCACCCTCTCTCATCTTGGCGCGCTTCACTCACGGAGCGTCACAGTATCCCCAGTCTTTGTTAAGCTTCCACAGCGTTCGTGCGTGTTTAAGTGTTTTTGCTCTAAATACTGTACTGTACCATTCGAAATGGCTTCCAAGAGCCAATCAAGTGCTACTGATGCTAGTGTTGTGAAGAAGTAACTTAAGACCATTAGCCTTGCTCCGAAAATGGAGGTTTTAAATCGTTTTGAGAAAGGTGAACGTGTTGTGGACATTGGTGCTACGCTAGGTCTAACCCCCACAACAGTGCTCACAGACAAGATTAAGGCTAGTGCTGGAAGTGGTACAGTACTTCTATGAGTGCAAGAAAGAAAAGTTGTGCTCGAAGTTCTGTGATTGAAAAGATGGAGAAGATGCTGGCTATGTTGATGGAGGACCAGAATCACCGCAATGCCTCCGTGAGCCTTGTGGTTATCCAGCATAAAGTAAAATCCCTGTTTGACGACTTAAAGGCAGAAGAGGGTGAAGGATTGAAGGAAGAGACCTTTACGGCCAGCTGAGGATGGTTTCAACGTTTTAAGAATTGTTATAACTTCCACAATATTAAGATGACTGTGAAGCTGCTAGTTCAGATACGGTTGCTTCCAAGATATTCCCGCCTAAGTTCAAGAACATTATCGAGGAAGGAGGCTACTCAGCGAAGCAAGTCTAGAGGATGCTCGAAAGAACCTATATCTCCAAGGAAGAAAGAAGAACACCAGAATTTAAAGCGGCAAAAGACCGCTTGACGCTGTTGCTTGGCGCAAACCCTGCTAGTGACTTGAAGCTGAAGCCAATGTTAATTTCTCGCGCTGCCAACCCACGTGCTCTGAAAGGTTACTCAAAGGATCACATTCTTGTCATCTACAAGGCAAATAAGAAGGCATGGATAACCAGCGCCATATTTAGCCAGTGGTTAAATGTGTACGCCATCCCTACAATGAAAGAATATTGTGCCAAGGAGAACCTAGACTTTAAAATTCTTCTTGTCGCTGACAATGCTCCAGCGCATCCTCCCAATCTCGACGATTTACATGACGGTGTTCGAGTTGTATTCCTGCCTCCCAACACAACAGCACTGATGCAGCCTATGGACCAAGGCATTTTAGCCGCATTCAAGGATTATTTATGGCTTACCATGGACCAACTGCTCAAGGCTACTGATGGAGAAAATAAATCAATGATCCGAGAATATTGGCGGTGCTACAACTTTCTTCATGCAATCGACAACATTGGCAAGGCATGGGAAGAAATTTCAGAAAGTTGCCTGAATGGTGTGTGGCATAAATTATGGCCCGAGTGCGTGAACAGCTTTATGGGATTCACGGACTTAGTCCCATCTGTGAATAGGGATATCCTCAGCTTGGCAAGACAGGCAGGTTTTCATAAGTTGGAATCTGAGGATATTGAGCAAGTCCTGGCATCCCATACAGAAGAGCTACCTAATGAAGATCTGCAACTTTCTAACAGAACAATGTGCCACTGATGACGCCGACGACGAAGAAGAACTACAACGAACGCTAACTACCAAGAGGATGGTAGAAGCGTTCGACATGATCCAGCTAGCAATGCAAATCTTCATTGATGATGACCCAAACAGAGAACGTAGCTCAAAGATTGTACGCAACTTGGAGAAAACTTTTAGTTGTTATAATGAGATCTACAAGGAGAAAAAGAAGAGGAGCACTCAGCAGTCAACGCTGGAATCTTTTTTTCGTCGCCGGAAGGCAGAAACAGCATCTTCACAACAGTTTGCAAGGGAGGAGGAGCGAACAGCTGCATAGGAGGAGCAAACAGCAGCCGAGGAGGAACCCCAGTCAGAGCGGGAGGAGGAGCCACCTGCCGGGTCTCAGTGACTCACCGCCCTCCTCTCCACTACCCACCACACACTCGCTCCACCTCCGCCCATTAGTGAGTACAATACATAATGATTTAGTTTATATATCTTTTGGATGTATAATATATACGTGTACTGTTTTCTATAAAAATTCCATTGAATTAATGTACAGTATTTGTAATGTATTTTATGGGGCAAAGGGAGGCTGGGGAACGTAACTCCCGTATTTTATCTATTTCTTGTGGGGAAAATTTATTCCATTAACGTTGTTTCCGTTAACGTCGCAGTTTTCATGAACGGAACCACGATGTTAAGCGAGGACTTACTGTACTGAAACTACAGGTATTCAGGATTATTTTATTAAAAGAAAATGGTGTTTCTAATTTAACTAGAACTGATTTTATACTCTTTCTTTATATATACAGTAGGTAGTTGGCAGCTATCAAACAAGGAGGCACTACCGCTTGGGAAAATATTGGAAGCATAATGTGTTGTCTGTGGTAAACCCTGCTGCCATATGGCATCACAAAAATTGTGACCAAGTCCCAGGTTGCTGATCTGACTTTCTGCCTCATTTACACACAATTGCCGGGTTTCAATTGTTTCTCTTACTATTGACAACACAACATACTGTATATCGTTTCTCACTCTTGATTTATTTTTTCATTTGTGTATTTATTTATGGTCATTATTATTAGTACAGTACTTTTATTTTTTGGTTATAATTTTTTTCCTTTTATTAATTATTATTATTATTATTATTATTATTATTATTATTATTACTACTACTAATTATTATTATTATTATTATTATTATTATTATTATTATTATTATTATTATTATTATTATTATAATATTTCGCCCCCCCCCCCAGGTCCTGATGTGGGTCAGTGACCTATGCTCGGGTGGGCTAATCCCCTTAAAAAAAAAAATATATTTAAGTCCCCCATCATTATACAGCTCCTCCCTGACTTACCACGGGGTTAGGGACCCAAATCCAGGTCGTAAGTCGAAAATGCTTAAATAATACACAGAAAATCTAAAATGGGTGTCTTTTTCTTCTCAGCACCACAAACGAAAATTTTTGTTATTACACAGCGCAATCACTGACGTGGGGACTCGAAAATACGTAATTTGACAAAATTTGGGTACGACCGAGGTAGGTTGTAAGTGCAGGTGGTCGTAAGTCAGGGAGGAGCTGTACATTTGTTTTATTGAAAGTCTTGTCGAGAATTTATTCAAGATCATATGCTATCAAATTCATCTGTAGGAATCTTTTCCACCAATTAGCTCTGTTGTTACAATGCTACTGTGGATTTACTGTATTCATAAGTTTACTCAAGTATTGCGACTCTGCCACTTGTATTCAAACATCACCAAAGGGGAAAAGGAACCCTTGGAAGCAACTGCACATACCTTACATTTTGGGTTCATGGTCCTAAGGTCCAGTTTATCCATGTTTTTAGATACTTAAGTTAGGTGCACTGTTGGTCCCAGTGATGTAAGAACTTCTGATCCTTTCCTCAACTACATTTGATTATCATATTTCTATTTTAAGAGATAGTCAACACATTAAGCTTTCCATGTAAATACTGTTTACAAAGATTCTTTGTTTTTAGGACGTGATTCGACCTGGCCGCTTCCATGAATACTACTTTGTTGACTTACCTAAACCTGAAGATAGACGACTTATTCTCGGTAAACACTTATTACCTAGCAAGGTGGCAGAAGCTGTAGAACTTGATAACCTCATCCAGCAAACAACTTTCTTCACAGCTGCTGAGGTAGTAGTGAGTAGTTTATATAACTACAGTATATTATTTAATACATAGTAAAATAATGCATTCTTTATTAATAAACATACAGTAAATTATTTCATTTCTAAATCATAATATTGTCTCTACAGCTTGTTCATTTGTGTGAGGAGGTCAAGACTCAGAGTAAAAGAGAAAGCATATGGAATGTTGATGATCCTGACTACACCATCAACAGTGGCAGGTGCAGTGAAGAAATACTTGAATCACTGATCCCCAATACCTCACAAAAAATGCTTCACAAATATAAAGCATTTGCAAAAATTTATTGTTCATGAAAAATGTAACAATTTACAATATATTATTTTATAAACTATTTTAATATAATATGCTCCAGAGCATTTTTTTACAAATGGAGACATTAAATAATAATATTACATGGTTTGTACTGAGCTTTGTTAATATAAAATGGAATACATATTTCATTTTAAATACAGGCAGTGACTGTTATACGATAGGGTTTGGGAACTAAAAAATCCATCGCTGGAATAATGATTAGATTATTTCTAAATAACTCAAATAATTTGTAAATAGACATAAAATCAATAATCTTATACAAAATAAAGATATAAAAAACATTAAATTTTTACAAAAAAACATATATATATTTAATATATTTAGTTACTGTACAAGTACCGTTACTTGTTATGTATGTGTACAGTAGTTAGTTGCGATCCCCCAGCCGCTACTACAAGTAGGTACAGTATAATGAATTTTATTTTGTTTATTTTTATTGAACTCTTATCTTGTGTGTGCATGCAGTAACAAGGTGCCTCGCAGCCCCAGGCTAGACCAACAGGGGATCTTGGAGCAGCAATGGGCCCCAGAGGGATGATGCATTGGCCCACTGGCATGTGGGTGCCCTAAGCATAGCCTGCCAACTTGACTAGGCAACTGCACCCAGTAAGGTCATCCTTATGCAGTCAAAAACACAATCATAATCACAGATCAAAACAAAAACAAATATACAACCTCTTATGGTCACTGCATGAAATCTCAGAACCCTTCTGGATACTGGCACGAATGAGTGTCCCAAAAGAAGAACTGCCCTTGTAGCATAAAAGCTGTCTAGCTACATCAACATAGCAGCCATAAGTGAGTCCCGGCTCCCAGGCAAGGGTTGACTCATAGAACAGGGTTTTGTTTATACCTTCTGGAAGGATATGCCTGCTGTGGAGAGAAACCACATCTATGGAGTTGGCTTTGCCATTCGCCAATCCATCGTACATAAGCTAACTCAAATGCCTGATGGGATCAACGAGCGCCTCATGATGCTCAGAGTCTCACTGAATCACTCATGTCATGCCTTTGTCATCAGTGCATATTCCCCAACACTGATTGCAGAATTATGATATCAAGGAGGCCTTTTATGCCGACCTTGACAGGGTGATAACCTCTATACCCAAAGAAGATAAAGTTGTGCACCAAGGTGACTTCAGTGCCAGAGTTGGAGAGGCTGACATATGGCAGGTAACCATCGGGAGAAACGGAGTAGGCAAGTGTAATCCCATTGGCCTACTCCTCCTTAGCAAGTGTGCTGCACACAACCTCACTATCATCAATACCTTGTTTAGGCAGGCCCACAAGTTCAAGGGGTCTTGGCAACACCCATGATCCAAACATTGGCATCTCATTGACTACATCATTGTCAGAGAAAGTTATCACCAAAATGTCATCATCACCCGAGCCATGCATGGCTCAGACCACTGTGACACAGATCATCAGAGCCAAACTCTCCCTTCACATTGCCCCAAAATGGTGAAGGCAACAAGCCTCCAGAAGAGGTTTTAACACCAAGGTACTGGATGATCCAGTGGTAGCACATGCTTTCAGAGAGCAGCTCAACGATGAGCTGATAAACAATCTAACAACAAACGACTTAAATCCAAGTGCTGCTCTCACTGACTGGCAGAGCAACCTTAAGTCTCGGACCAAAGCTGTTCCTTCCACGAGAAAAAAGCGGCGGCCCAGCGTGAACTTCAACTAATAAACGAATTGTGGAAAAATATAGCATGTAAAACACAAATATTTGCAGATCAACGCAAGATGAATGAATTTATCAATTCCACCAAAACCATATATGGCTCAATTACTCATGGCGTGGCTCCCCTCTGCTCATCCGATGGTAACTCCCAAATTAAAGACGAAGACATCTGTTAGCACTGGAAGCACTACCATTCACTGCTCAACCGAAACATCGATGTGGATGTCCTGACTAATCAGCAGGTTCCTCAGCACCAAGTGCCGAACCACCTCTTCTGTGTTCTATCCTGTGATGAGGTAGCTACCTCCATCAAGTAGATGAAAAAATAACAAAGCCACTGCTTGATGGAATCCCAGCCGTGGTGTATAAAGCAGAAGGACTTCTGCTGTCTCCACTCGGAATATGTGGGAGAAGGAGCAAATCCCCCAAGCTCTTAAAGATGCCTCGATTGTCAATATTTATAAGAACAAGGGAGACTGGTCAGACTATAGCAACTACTGTGAGATCTCGCTGCTGTCTGTAGCTGGCAAGATTAACGCCCGAATCCTCTTAAACAGACTTCTTCCCGAGCTGAAAAACTTCCTCCCAGAATATCAGTGTGGCTTTAAACCATCATGGGGCACACTGACATGATCTTTGTTGCCTGCCAGTTACAGAAAAAGTGCAGAGAACAGCGTCATGACTTGTACATGACCTTCATCAATCTTACTAAGGCCTTCAACTCGGTCAACAGGGAAGCCCTCTGGCGGACCCTCGGCCTTTTTTGACTGCCCATAAAAATTCATCGCCATTGTGAGACTACTCTACTATGGAATGAATGACAGTGTCCTGCACAATGGCACCCAGTCTGAGTTCTTCCCTAACCAAACAGGGGTAAAGCAAGGATGTGTAGTGGCACTGACACTTCCATTTTCTTGGCTGCTTTCCTTACTCGCATGAGTGCTAATATAGCTGGCAGGGCGGACTTTTCAACATGATACGACTCCAGGCAGGAACAAAGGTGTCGACTGCTCACACTGAACGTGTCTTACAGGAGATCTTGAACGCCTACGCAGATGCATATGCACACTTCGGCCTTGAGGTAAATGTACGTTAGACTCGGCTTCTCTTTCAGCCTGCCCCTGGTTCAACCACACCTCTGCTATCCATCTAGCTTAACAGTACTACCCTTTCTAATTCTTACTCACTTTCAGTACCTTGGCTCCAACCTGTCCATGACCGTGGTCATCGATGAAGAGATTTAACATCAGATCAGATGTGCATCTCTAACCTTTGGCAGACTCCGAAGCCGTGTCTTCAGCTGTAGGGAGCTGAAATTATTTACAGAGTTGCATGTATATCAAGCATTAGTCCTCCCCACCCTGCTATATGGCAGCGAGGCATGGGTCACATACAGGAGGCACCTCAAGGCACTTGAAATCTTTCACCAATGTAGTCTACATTCCATCCTCCAGGTTAGCTGGGAAGACAAGAGAACAAATGCCAGTATTCTCGCTGACACCAACTGTAGGAGCATCGAAGCTACTATTATCCATGAAAAACTATGTTGGACTGGCCATGGTACCCACATGGACGGCAGTAGACTGGCAAAGCAGCTACTTGAGTCACCTAATGAATAGTAAATGTAACCTGGTGGGCAAAGGAAAAGGTATAAGATAGTCTTGAAGACAAACCTGCCAAATCGACCTCACCTGGGAGATGATCACTCCACACTGTAACGCTTGGAGGAGCACCACATGAGAGGGTATGAATACTTGCGAGTTAGCCCAACTGCTTACCAAGGCAGACAAGCGCTGGCGCTAGAAAGATGCTACCGTAGCCACTCCTGCACTTCAGTCTGCGCGGAATGTGAGATCGTGTGCTGAAAAAATATTGATATTTACGATTATGTTATGTAAATAAAGTCAAGTAACACTTACCACTTCAATTAATACTTTGTAGTGTTTCCTCTGCGCTTCAGACAGTCTTTTAGCCTTCGAGGAACACTGTCAGCAAGGTTTTGCAAGAGGTCAGGTGACAAGTTAGCCCAGGTATCCTTGATGGCTGCTTCTAGCTTTGGGATTGATGATGTGTCAGCGTCGCGCAGACGACGCTTAACAATGGACCACAAATTTTCTGTTGGGTTAAGATCTGGGCTACTGCCAGGCCAGTCATTAAAGAAAGGTACCTCACAGTCTTTGAGCCACTGTATGACACTTTAAGCAGTGTGGCATGGGGCACCGTCCTGCATGAAAAGGCTTGCCTTAGCTTTATCAAATGATTCAGGTAAGAAATCACTGAGCAGTTCAAGATAGTTGTACTGATTCATCATCTGGTTCTTAGGGAGGATTACTAGTTCACCAACACCATAATACGTAAAGGAAGCCCAAACCATAAGTGAGGCAGGGTGCTTAACAGTCTTTACAGTGTACTGTGGGAGGTGTGCGTCTGAGTGGGGCAGGCGGTACACCCTCCCACCACTACTCCCAGTCACAGAAAACGTAGCCTCGTCGGACCACAATACACTTTTCCATGACTCTAAATCCCACACTTCATATTTCTTGCAAAATTTCATTCTATTTTCCTTGTCTCTTTGTCAACAGAGGTTTAGGGCGGGCACGAAAGCTCTTAAATCCCAGGTCATCGTGCAGGGCTTGTTGAACACAACGTAACGAGACGTGACTCAAAAGACGGGGGTTTCTCTCTTTCACTTCACGTGCTGTGAGTGAGGGATTGGACCGAACTTGTCGAGAAATAACCTTAAGTGTCCGTGGAGACAATAATTTAGGCCTACCAGACTTAGGTAATGGAGCTGGTAACTCGTCCTCTCTAAGGTCACGGAAACGTTTGACAAGATTTTGAACAACTCGTAATGCCACACCAGTCTGAGCCGAAATTTCTCTCAGTACATGGTTCGCTTTGTGCAATGCAATCACTGCTGCAATATCGTCTCTTGTAGTAACCCTCCTGGACATCTCTGATGGCCACTATGTCGGGTTAATGCACCTAAAACTAGACAAAACATGGCCACATGGCGCGGGAACCCGCACAATAAATCTTCCCCTCACAGTTGCCAGAGGCGCACTGACTACAAACCGTGACGTGTTCTCAGTTGCCAAATGTCACCACTTGCCAACAAACTAAGCGTTTTGAGATCTCGCATCCCAGGACAGCCTTCACAACATATGATCTTATTTTTGCAAGAACTTAGTTCGTCGGCCCTATCGCAATTTAATATTCCGCGCAGACTGTAGATGTAGCCCTCCACACGTGCAACATCCGTGGATGGCCCTGCTGGTCCTTTTATCGGCCTCTCAAATCACCTCAAAGTTCACCAATGAAGGTGCATTGTTAATAACTCATATCATAGCTGGATGATCATCATACTTGATTCCAAGTGACAGCAAAATAGTAATGTATGTGCACGAAACCCGTCTTAGAATATGCACATACAAGTTGGAAATTATAATGCACAGTACAGTATATCTTTCTGTACAGCACTGTACTTCAAGAAGTATATTGTATTAAGAATTTCACTGAATATCTCTCGAGAAGCAGAATCATTTAATAGTCAACAACTATACTGTATATACAAGTCATTGTCACACAAATTCA